TACACACAACAATACAATTTACAATAACAGTTATTACAAACAATGATTTATAAACAAAAATTTCAAAACTTACAAGCAATATCTTATCGAGGGTTCACGATGAGCGAGTTAATTACGAGTTGATGTAGGTATAATTCATTTAACAGGGAGCTAGCTAGCTTTGTCCGAAATATCGAGAAAGCCTCCACACGCCTATAGGTATGACCAACGCAACGCAACTAAAAAGAGAATCTATTATTGGGATGCTGTAATTTCGCGCAAAGCTACACGAGGCTATCTGTGCTAGCCATCCCTAATTTAGCAGTGTAAGACTAGAGGGAAGGCAGCTAGTCATCACCGCCCATTCTTGGGCTACTCTTTTACCAACGAATAGTGGAATTGACCGTCACATTATAACGTTCCCACGGCTGAAAGGGCGAGCATGTTTGGTGTGACGGGGATTCGAACCCACGCCCGCAGATTACGAGTCGAGCGCCCTAACCACCTGGCCATGCCTGGCCTCATTATTATCTTTACGAAAACATTACATAACGTCACGATGGAAAACCCGGCGTGTGTGGCTGGTAAATAACGAAAAAGTTTGTATTTAAAAACATTCATAGCTTATAGTGTTAAATATGTTGTAGAAGATTCTCGAGAGTAAGAATCAACAATATATGTAAACGCTTAAATGTAGCTCAGTATTGTTACGTAAAACTAATCTAAATAAACGCTGATATTACAATAAATATATAATAATAAATTCCTTACAAAGGTAATAGCGTCAAGACCGGTTACTTTTTGAACAACTGGAATAGATACATTTTTCTTCTTCTTTTTGTTTACAGTGTAAACTTTTCCAAAAAGAAACTCACAGAAATGAATGTGTTTAGAAATATCAGTTTTAATGAATAATATTTATTGAAGCTTGTTGAAATGCCTTGAACATCAAGATTCGGCGCCTACTTTGGAAATAAACAAGGTAATCGTAAACAATTTACGACGACTCCGGCCTGAAATGAAAAATGTCCTACGGGCGCGTTCGTTTATTAACTCCGAAGCTGCTAACCCACGTGAAAATTTAAATCATTCATTTTCCAAGGTCAATAAAATAATAAAAAAAACGTACTGCAGGTTACTAACTTTGCTGACAGCAGAAGTTTTATGACCAGGTGATGATAATTTTTTTATAATAAACAACATACAATGATATTGTTAAGACTGAAAGTAACACATGATAAACATGGACTGAGGCAACCTACACTCTAACACTGTGTAGGTGTGGGTTATAGACGATCAATAACATATTATAACAATGCGAAAAAAATTAAGAAGTAAAGTAAAAGAGAACTACAACACCAGAGGGACACAAAAATGTATAAGCATTTGTGAAATTAATACGATTGTTTGTTTGTTTGTTTTCAATTATGCACAAAGCTGCACAAGGGCTAACTGTGCTCTGCCCACCACGGGTTTCGAAACCCGGTTTCTAGCATTGTAAGTCCGCAGACATACCGCTGTGCCAGAAATTAGTACGAAAATACTTCGTTTGTAATTAAGCGCAAAGCTACACAGGTATCTAAACCTATTTTCTACCGTTGTAAGTCCGCAGACATGCCATTGTGCCACAGGAGACACGAAAATTAATACATGATAAAATTATGGTACCGTATTTAGAATAATAGGAAATCCAGCATTAGGAAAAATAAAAAGTGTATTGTAATCCGTATAAATCAGAAGACATTGATTCTTAAGTTTTATTAACTTTTCTTCTGCTAATGATTTGTAAAGAATTTTCGAAAAGTGTCAAATTATTAATAAACTAGGTGGAGTACCCGTCCCCTGGACTGAAGTTTTTTGTATTCATGATTAATGAAAATTTATCTTAGGACTTGAAAAGATTCTTCCTTTATATGTAATTGTTAAAAAACGCCCATAAAAATTACAAAACACAAGATGTGAAAGTGCAAATTTGCATGTATTTCTTCGTGGACCCAGCAAAGCTTCATACCAAATCTAGTGAAGATTCACCAACAGAGGCGAAGTTCTGGTAAAAAAATGCGAAAACGCCCATATCAACCACAAAACGCAAAACTGAAAATTTGTATGTATCTCCCCATGTGCCCAATGAACCTCCATACCAAATTTGGTAAAGATCCATATACAGGGGGTGAAGTAGTGGTAAAAAACGCAAAAAGGCTAATAAAAACCGTAAAACGCAAAATTGGAAATGTTTAAGTAGCCCTGCGTGGACCTAATGAACCTCCATACCAATTTTGGTGAAGATCCATCCACACCCTCCGAAGTAGTTACATGTACATACAACAGACACTCCTATTATATTTATATAGATGTTGTAAGTGAAGGCTTACACCACTTTACTTGCAATTGTAATTGGCCTGATGGTTAGGGCCCTCGACTCGCAATGTGTGGGTCGCGGGTTCGAATTCCCGTCACCGAACATGCTCTTCGTTTCAGCCGAGAATGTGTTATAATTTGACGGTCATTCCCACCATTCATTAGTTTTAGAGTAGCTCAAGAATTGGAGGTGGGTGGTGTTAACTAGCTGCATTCTCTCTTGTCTATTACTGCTAAATTAGGGATGGCTCGCGCAAACCAAACTGTCCCCGAGTAGCTTTGCGCAACATTCAAAAACAAACTCGTGAATAACGTATTCACTTTGCACAATAATAAAAATCTTTACAGAAGTCAAGAGTGAAACGGAAATCAGATAACTCAAAATAGAAAAGAATATTATAAAGTTTGTCAAAGTATGAAGTGCGAGAAGCGACCCAAAATTATTTCACTGTCTAATATATGTAGAGACGCTACGCGGCAGCACTGACCGTACAAACATGGCAGCTCATGTTAGTTAAGTGCTGCCCTCTCTTAAGAAAGAAGCGTATTTTAGTACAATATTTGCAGTTTTTCTTTTGAAGAGTGGATACCGGTAATTTAAGCTAATGTTAGTGAAAAATTAAATATTTGTGTAAATTTTAGTAAACCTATGGTTAAATGTTTAAAGCATTACAAGTTTTAGATCAAAAGAGCTATTTGTTGAATTAAAAGACAAGAATTATTGGATGTATGTAAGAATCATGTTAACATGCTCTATGTCCTTAAGGCACATGGACTCTGAAGCATCTAGCAGTAGAATGACAAAAGTAATTCTAATTTATTGTAAGTTAAGATATTTATTGTTTTTAAGGAAGGGATCGAACCATAGATTTATCATTGTAAGTCCGAAAACATATCGCTGATCTAGCGGGGGACAAATTCAAATATATTTTTAAGTATTATGTATACAGAATGACCTCTTAAACTTTTAAGATATTATAAAAAAATGCAGCTTAATGAGCTAATTATTCAGTTTGAAGTTATTAAACATTTTCAGACTTACTGTTTTTTTTTAGCATTTATTATGTGAACTTTATAAAACACTTGAGAGACTGCTCCAAATTAACTAAAAGTGTGGGAAAATGTAACGTTTGAATAAATAAATCCAGCAAAATAACCAGGCAGAAAATATAACAACACAAAGTATTTCGTTATGAAACTTACGAAATAAATTATTTGGGTTATACTTAATAACATATATTTTCTATAGGAATGAGTGATTTTGTAGCCTAATTTGTCCGTTATATATATATTGGCTTTCTTCTGTTGATGTTGTATTTTCTGTTGATGTTGTATTTTCTGTTGATGTTGTATATACGATGAAATGTTACAGAGTTTTGTTTTACTTGGGATATCACTCATAACCGAGTTTATCTCTGCTATAGTTTTTTCTTATAATATAATAGAATTCTATCTAGCCATCCATTTATCCATCGAACCATTAATGATTATCTTTAATCAAATATGTTTTACTCATGATGTGATATCTAATACGCTATGAATTAGTTTTTATGAATAAATGGGTTTGAAGTTAAAAGTTACCTATATAATACTTCAAGCAATCATAAATTGGTAATGACATTATTAGCAGTTTAGAGATAATTTCAGCAAAACTGCTTCAGTATTTGTCTTAATTTTTTAAATCAATTTTAAATTTGTTAGAAAGGGTACGTGTTATTTTGCCATGTCCCACCTAATATTAACTAAATGTTGTGACAAATTTCACAAGGAGAAGCCATCAGAATATAACAGAAAGTTAAATCATATATCTAAAAATGGATATTTTTAAACATTATGAAAACCTTTATTTTTAGGTAAACGCTTAGCTTGGGGTAAATTTTAAAATGTTTAGAAACTGAAAAAAAAACCCAGCAAGATTATCTTTAAATGCCGACAAATTTTGCACCAAGACATTTGATCATTTAATGGCGGGATACAAAATTTAATTTTTAATTTGTTGTTCACTAATTGTGTAACTTTTCCATTCTGAATTTCATGTGTCGGTGTAAATAGTTCCCAAGGTTCAACATAGTCAAACTGGGAAAATAATAAACATAAATATATATATATAACGGAAAATGTAAAAACAACAAAAACATTTTCAGCTAAAGTGATTTTTATCCAAGTATATTTATCTTTACATTAGCGAATTCAACAATAAATGTTATAGTTTTGTTTCGAGGTTACTTACTTACTTAAAAGTAGGTACGACGTTTTGATCACTGGTGCGATCATTCTCAAGCACACAAATTTTAACTGCAAAGAAGGTTTTAAGTATTTAAATCAACTGAACTTCCAGTTTAACATAAATTAAAAGTATCATAGAAAAAGCTCAAATAAAACTTTTAAAACAAACTATAAAGGAAAAAAACACAGTGGGTAGATTGTTAAGTGTTGATTTAAATAATAAAACCTTCTTTACCATTAAAATTTGTGTAATTGAGAATGACCGAAACGTCGTACCCGTTTTAAAAATATTCTTCCTCACTGCAGTAGTTGTAACTTGTAATAAAATAATAATAATTTTTTTGGCATAGCTTATTGATCAACATTATAGATAGTGCTGCGATCTAGTGAGAAACCATCTTGTGATTTTATTGGTCAGCTTTGAGAAGTTGCGAGTTTCAAATTTAAAGCGGTGATATTTCTAACGATTAACTGAGGCGAATAAGAAATAGGAGATCTCAACGAAAGTAAAAAAGCTTGGATTACAATTTACACTCTACAGTGAATTTTAATTATAGTATTTGTAACAAAATGACAAAGAGGCCAGGAGAAAAAGAAAAAAACCAACACATACAGGTTTTCTTGAGATGCAGGTTAGTGAATGTATTATTATTTTGTTTGTAACGTACACTGCTGAGTTAGGCTTAACTAATGACAATGGTATTAATACTAGTACTACAAAGCCATACTATATTTTGTAAGTTTGTTTATTATATACTAGTATTATTATCACTACTAGTAGTTCCAATATTCACTAATGCTAGGAAGAAGTTACGTCTTATAAATTTATACATCATAAGTCCATTTTCTTGCAGTAGACCACTACAGAACAGTAAAGGTTATGCGAGAAGTTGTGAATAATTGATTAATTGCTTCATTGATTTGTAAGTTGCTAAATGTTACTCTTACTAATATTATTTAGCCTAACCCCAGACCTAGTCTAGGCACCTGGTAAATAAGTTTTAACTACTAGCATTAATACATTAACATAACTGTTAGTATTATTAATATTGATAATGTTAGTTTACTCTTACATATTTAGTGATACTACCAAAATATTATTTTCAACGAGTATCAGTATCAGACAGCTTGTACTTTAATTTTATTGTGTAGACGTTTTTACATTTAAATAATTAAATGTATTTTTAAGTAATGGTGCAACATTAATTGTTAAACTGATTCATACACACTACAAATTTTAATTTGTATTTACTGCTGTTAGGAGGTTACTTAAAAATAAGGATGAGCTAGTGTGTGGTGAGGTCAAAAATCAAAATGACAGTGCAAGAATTGAATTGCATGTTTGTGTGTTTTCTTTTGTGAATGTTGAAGAATTGAAACAGTAGTTAAAAATAAAAAAAGACAAGTGAATCTTGGAATGCAAATCAAGAAACTGGTAAAACTTACTGAAAAAGCTTCTTGCATAAATTTAAAAGGAATCAATGCTAATGAATATGAGTTTGAAAAAGATCAGTTACTGAACTGTGGATAGCATTTTATCCAGGCCTGAGACTACATTTCTCAATGAATTTAAAAGCTATGCCTAATGTTACTATGGATATTGTAGGAATTTAAATTTTAAGCTTTAAATCTCGCAGTGGGATGAAAAGTTCCTTGTTACAAGTATAATATGCATACAGAAAAAGTAATCAGGTTCTCTAAAAAGATTATTGTTATTATACTGGATATTACATCATATAATATTAATAACTTTAAAGCTGTGTTTCTTAACCTGTGATGCACCCACCCCTTAGGGATGCAAAACATGTCAACATTTCAATTTCCAAATATGGTTTCTCCATCGGTCTCCTGAGATCACTTGATAGCAAATGGATAGTAAACTTTCTATACTTTTTGACCATAACTAGGCGACAATAGCTGTTACAAATTCTCCTAAGTTAGTCGTTAAAGTTCCCATGTGAATGAAGCGTTTGTTATAACTGAAATTGATATCTGTCTGTTCAGAATACGATATAAGACACTACGTCATTTAATAGATGGAAACATTGTCTTTCTATTGGTTATAGATGATATATATAATTAAACGTAAGAGAGAACTATTAACAAATCCTGAAAGGCAAGGGGTGCAAGACATATTCTGTAAACCGAATGGGTGCGGCTTCCCAAGAAGGTTAAGAACCACAGCTTTATAGCTAGTCTTGTGCTTTGGTTTTGACAACATGCATAGACATAATCCGTGTATTCCAGATCAGCATCTTGTATGATTGAATGATTACAAACAGCCCTAGGCATCTTATCACTGACTGTCGTATCTCTCTAGTTAGTATACGGGAAATTTTTTTTTACCCGAGTTTCCTCTGTCAGTCGCCTGTTTTTAAAATGCAGTTAACAAAGTTTAGTCTACTTGTTTGGTATCCATGCAATTTCTCTCCTAATCAACTGTAACTACCAACTTCTCATCTGCCTGTCCTCCTTCACTGGAAGAATATAGAAAAAGTAATCACTCATCCATGCATACTTCAGAAGATTAAAAAGTAATCACTCATCCATGATACTTCAGAAGATTAAAAAGTAATCACTCATCCATGGATACTTCAGAAGATTAACAAGTAATCACTCATCCATGGATACTTCAGAAGATTAAAAAGTAATCACTCATTCATGCATACTTCAGAAGATTAACAAGTAATCACTCATCCATGGATACTTCAGAAGATTAACAAGTAATCACTCATCCATGCATACTTCAGAAGATTAACAAGTAATCACTCATCCATGCATACTTCAGAAGACTAACAAGTAATCACTCATCCATGGATACTTCAGAAGACTAACAAGTAATCACTCATCCATGGATACTTCAGAAGATTAAAAAGTAATCACTCATCCATATATACTTCAGTGAATTTCTCTGTGTGAGAGATGACTGATATGTGATCCTCTGTTCCAGGGGGGTCATAAAGTGAATCTCTCTGAGTGAGAGATGACTGATATGTGATCCTCTGTTCCAGGGGGCCCTTCAGTGAATCTCTCTGAGTAAGAGATGACTGATATAAAGTCCTTTTCCAGGGGGGTCCTTCAGTGAATCTCTCTGAGTGAGAGATGACTGATATGTGATCCTCTGTTCCAGGGGGGTCCTTCAGTGAATCTTTCTGAGTGAGAGATGACTGATATAAGGTCCTCTGTTCCAGGGGGTCCTTCAGTGAATCTCTCTAAGTAAGAGATGACTGATATAGGGTCCTTTTCCAGGGGGTTCTTCAGTGAATCTTTCTGAGTGAGAGATGACTGATATATGGTCCTCCCAGATACATTAAAACCTGTAAGGCAAGTATTAAGGAATTTAATAATTTTGTTATTGCTTTCTGATTCTTCGCCTGGGTATGTCATGCAGCTCAAATGAGGATTAAAAAACTCGCATGGCACTGCTAAGTGAAACAATTCTGCCAATAATGAATAGTAAGCTTCTGTACTCAGAATCTTGCAATACAAATGATTGAAATGCATGCCACAACTGAAACATATTTTGCCCAATGAAAGCTTGGCCGAGGTTAACTTAAGAATAAGTGTAAACGTTTTATGTAAATTTTGATTTCAAATTCATTCTATATTAAGGCTTTCAACTTTAATAAATTAGAAGGTAGCATGGTAATTTCGGGAGGTATCCAACAGGCATAAAACTTGAATAGTTAATAACCATACTTGAAATATAATTAATATTTTTTTTGTAATTATTTACATCTTTCTATTTTCGAAGGCTGGAAATAACAAAGTCAAAAAGTATGTTGTTTTCATACTTATAATTACCATCAAAATATTGCATAGCATACTCTGTATGACAAAGTCTGAGCTGTAAATATTTTTTTGTGTTTTTGCTTTTATCTTTGATGAATTAGAAATTTTAAAAGGAAACACAAAAACTAATTTTAAGCTTTTTTAATTTCTTCATTTGTAGCTGGTACCTAAATTTAAAATTGATGAGGAAAAAAGGTGCTGGTCCATTTGGAAACCAGTACTACATACCATCCTCGTAATCACAATAAAATTCAAATTCTACAAGAATTCCCAGGAGGTTGAAGCTTTTGTATAGTTATTGGTGAATCCAGTTAATTTTTGTATAAAAGTTAATATTATTGAATAGTTATATCATTTGTATAATAAGTTTTTGAAATATTTTTTTGTATCAGTACCTTATTTTCTGCTTTGACTTCACAAGCTAATTATAAGAAAAGTAACACTAGAATTGTTTAAGTTTTTCACATTTTAAACTTGTGCCCTGTAGTCTTGCTGTTTGCATCTAATGTTGGGTTTTCTTTGGCTATAATTAATTAACGCAAGTGCGTGTCAAGGTTACTTAGATGACAGTACAAGTTTAGTTTCAGTTAAGTTGTATACCATTTTGACCTATTTAATGAACGTACGTCATTGTTTTTATTCTAGACCTTTGAACTGGTATGAGAAAAAGCAGAACTCGTATTCTGTTGTAGAAGCAAATCCGGAACGACGGGAAGTTACTGTGAAGGATAAAGGTTCTGAAAAATCACACACAAAAACTTTTGCGTTTGATCGAGTGTTTGGACCAGAGACACAGCAGGTATTTTACTCGCCCTTGAGCAATTCTTTATACCCTGTTACAGTAAACAGAGACAATTCAATGTAACATTTAAGATTTGAAGTGTTCATAACAATCTGAAATC